ATAATCACAGAGGAGGGGAAAAAACTCAACTCATGCAATTTTTGACATCTTAAATTTCTACGTTCCACCCAAACTCTGCACACACATTTTGAATAAGTACTGGTCTTTAGAGCAGCATTTTTCAAACTCAGGTCACAACCCGTATGTGGACCATGGAAATGGTTATGTATGTTGTAACCAACGTAAAACAAAAAACAACTGAACATCACACGTAATACGGTGCTGTATTATTTGCTTCAGATGCCTATATGTGTGTACCTGTATATATATGCCTATGTGTATATGAATATGAATTTGAAATAATAGTATGTATACAGAGAGAAAACTATAAAGATTTTTTCTTATTGTGGATTGTAGTAAAAAAATAAAAGTTTCAAAGCTACTACTTTAGACCTGCATATAATATAAATCTACTTCTCTTTTGCCTGAAGCTAGTAATCATTCTTGTCTTCTCTTTCCAGTTTCTAATATTGTTGCTCCAGACCGTCTTGGTCATTCTTATGTCACAGAGATACAATTCACTTTCTCTTAAAGTAGATTCGAGATGTGGTCTGAGCAGTGGGATTAATTCCTTCCCTTAATCTAGACATTAGGTTTTTACCAATGTAGCCTTATGTTATATTGGCTTTTTTTGGCAACTGTATGTATCTGTTAATGATAATTAAATAACATAATTACGTTTCTAAAACAATTTTTTTTTTTTGAGAGACAGAGAGGGAGGGAGGGAGGAAAGGAAGCAGGGAGGAAGGGAGAGAGAGAGAGAGGACATGCTTGAGTGCAAGTGTGCACCAGGGAGGGGCAGAAGGAGAGGGAGAGAGAGAATCCTAAGCAGGCAGGGCTCCATCTTATGACCGTGAGATCATCACCTGACTGAGCCACCCAGGTGTCCTGAAAACAAATTCTTAATCTAGAATCTTGCACTTGAAGAACTGGTTTGGTTTTAAACTCAAGTTCAGAAATTCTGTAATTATCACCAACAACTGACAGTCTGTTTCCCCGGGCAGCTATGATCCTTCAAAGTACTTGTTCTCCCACCCATTAGGGTATTTCTCCCCTAACGTTCTGTCACTTGCAAAGGTGATGAGCTGGCTTTTCTGTTTTTCAGGTGAACTGCTGGTAAAAATACCAAACCAGCTGAGACCAAGTAGGAGTGCTATAAGAACTTCCTCTGAGTATAAATTGATCACTACAAAACTGGGTTGTTCTAAGAAAAACTTATCTTGAATTATCAACTAATCCCCATTTCTCCAATCTTACAAAAGCATATCATAAGGACTCTGTTAAAGATCTCATTGGAGTCAAGACATAAAAGCTAGGTTTCAAGAATTTACAAGCTTAAAACAAAATAACAGATACACAATGACTATAAGGAAAGATACAGTATTTCTCATGAATGTAGCCCCTTCTCTGCATGTGCGCATCTCAGGCATTGTTTATTTGATTACGAATTAAGGTGTTACTATTTAAGTGATCTTTGCTAGGATACAGGCTACAACAAAATATTTTCTTTCCACACAGAGCTCTTATTTTATAAGGTCTACAACTAGGATCTACAGAATTTATTTACAACTATTTGCCTGGAATTTATAGACAGAGAAGCCAAGTGGCTCGTCAACACCTGGTTGGATCCGCTTCAGGATCAAATGTGTTAAAATACTAACACGGGATGTATTTTGAAGTTCAAATCTAAAACTAGATGTATTTAGGAAAAAAAGAAATAAGCATAAATGTATACAACACATACTTGGTAATATAAAATTTCTTAAGATCTCAAAATCAGTTTATTGGTATTCATTTAGGATCCCTCATTTAATTGAGAAAAGGGCTAGCATAGGAGCCAAGTGGAAAAAAAAATTTAACCATTCACTGAAAAACAGAAATACCTTAGGCTAATAACAAGAAAGAATATTAGAAGTTTGAAATTTATTAAACTCTCAAGTAAGCTTACAAAGATTTATGGAATTGCTCTTCCTGGAGATATTGAGCATGGAGACAGTTTCTACATATAAAAAAATGGCTTGGGTCCATGATAGAGGCAAAGCAACCTCTATAGCTGAACACAGAAACTATAGTAAGGTGTCCCTAAAATTAGGGAATATCAGCAAAGTGTCACGCTGCAATAAGGATTACATTAATAAACAGTTATTTACTAAGTACCATGGCGTGAGAAATGGTCTGCAAATGTGATGCTAGGTAGATAAATAGTGTAGTGTGTCAGAACTGACAAACTAGAAGTGCTATAATCCTATCAAATATTCCAAACTTTTTAACATATAAAGCAGCAGCTGGCATGGTTTACAAAAACAGAAGCAAAAAAGAAAAAAAAAATTGTTTATCCAGGACTGTTCAGAGTAAAAAGTTCTCTTATTCTGTACGATAAACTTCAACTTGAGAAGTAACTCAAGATGAAGAGAAGTAACCTAGACGGTCCTGAATTGAGCAGCTAATTGGTCTTCCGACATCTTTTCATCTGCAACTACCTAAAGCTTCCTGACATCTTTGATTCTGAATCTTTTAACTATTAAGTTCCATACCTGTAGGAAGGCCTCCTTGAAAGAATTTCTCTTCGTTTTTGGGAATCAGTTACACTATCCACTGACTCCTGTGAATCTTCACTTTCTGCAATAGTTGAAATCTGAAAACAAAGAAGAACTTTATCTTGATAATCGAATTTAGTTCCCATAAAGTTTTTATGAACTTTAAGAAAAAATCAAATATAAAACGATGTACATAAACCTTGCACATGCTTCAGTAGAAAAAAATCAATTTTTATGGGAGACAACCACACCAATCACATTCTTTTCCCCTTTACTTATCCTATAGAAGTCAGTTAGTCCTAAGATTTTTTTGGTCAAAACCAAACTTTTGTGATATACAAATTCAGCTTCATCTCTTCCAGGACTTCATGTAACCAATCTTGAACACATCAATATTACTGTCAGTTGTTTTCTTACAATTGTTAGAACAAAACTACCAAGTGAAATAAGACTTCTGACATGAAGAAAAGAATAAATGACTAAATATTTGGTCATGAGTCTATACAATGACATACAAGTATTATCCTTTACTGTTAAACACTTGTGACTATATTTATAACTGCACAAATAAGATTGGTGATCCCCCAGATGGTTGTTTCTAGCAACTCAGTCTACATATAGACCTTCAAAGTTTTTACTATGCAAAAACTCAAGGTAAAGAACTGTGTATTTCTGGAAAGTATCCCTGGACTGAAAAGTAATGAAGTTGAACAAAGATTTTACATGGGATAATAATAATGATAATGGTAACAGCAACTAGCATTTATTGAGAACTTACTATGTGCCAGGTACAATGGTAAAACACACAATGGTAAAGTATTATATTAATACTCACTAATACAATAACATCAGGTACTAGCTAAGTACAGTATTTAAACCCATTTCATAGATAGAAGAACTCAAGGTACAAAGAGGTTAAGTAACTCACCCAAGTCACAAAGCTAGGAAGTAGTGGAGCCACTGTCAATAGTTGGCATCTCAGTTTTAGACATCCTTACCAGCATCAAAATCCTGTTGGTTCCAATCTCAAACCAGTTTTGTCAGAAGCAGCAACCCAGAGGTGTTTTTAGACCACTCTCAGACTACAGTTCACTCGCCTAGTAGGTAAGCCTGTCTGTCAAGATGATATAGCCGAGCTTCTCTAGTCTGCTTCATTCAGCTTCCCTTCTCATCAGCAGGGGCCTCCTGCTCCTTCCTGAACTAGGTGTGCATGATGCTATCAGAGTGAGAATTCGGTTTAATGAAGGCAAAAGAGTCTGTGTGGCTCAGCTCCATGTCAAAATTTAGGGCAATTGCAACAAGAAAAAACATATTCAGAGGAACCTGACAAATCCCACAGGTACTCTGTATGTGGTCTGGGCCTATGGGTTTTGGAGAGTGGGGGCTCATCTTGACAGGGCACTTTGTAATAGGCACTCACTCTCAAATGAAATTAGGTAAATGTAGTAATTTTTCACAAAATTTATCTACAATAAAGTAATGTGCCCCATCCAAACACTTTCAAATGTAAGAACTTTAAAGACCTACACATTAACAGGCAACACTTAATGAATCCAGAAATGACAGATAAAAAGCTGTGTCAGAGGCTGAATTTAGTCTGTGATTCTCTGCAGAGTAATAATGCTACAGTTACAGCACAGAGAACACTCCCACTATATCTGTAGCTGCTGTAACTAGCCCGCTCAGCACAGTCTCTGCACAGACCTTCTCAGATACACAGCAGATGAGGAGCTATGAAAAGACCTTAGCAGAGTGTCAGGATTTCCAGGAATAACAAGACTCAACTCAAAGTGGACAGTACTATCACAAGTGTTTACCTTCATTAATACTTCTCAGAACCTCAGTTCCTCTGTTCTTTCTGCCTCCTTTGAATGACCCTCATCCTTAAAACCTTCTTGTAAGGACAGATAGTGACTTAGGCATACTCTTCGAAGTTGAAAGTCATTAAAACAACAGTTTTAAAACATACTGTATAAACCACCCATAAGGGAAGTTGTGAAATGAAATAAATTAATGCTGCTTTTTAACATGTGACCTTTAATCCTAACACCCCCCCCCCAAACTCAGTGGTTCTATTGCTCTTAGCAGGAAAAAAGCCTCCCTTCCTCTGATCTGTAAGATTTTGTCAATTGAGTCAAAAGGAAATTAACTTATCACTATGTAGTGATTACAACCATTTTAATGTAAAGGGAGTTCAGAATTACTCAATAAAAATAATAACAACAAGTGTTAACATTTCGTCTTTGGGAATACTATCCAGGGAGAACTTAAGAGCTATGAAGTCAATTCCTACGGACTATCTACCAAAACAAACAAAAACAAAAACAAAAATCCCAAACACACATTGGATCCACATTTCTGAGACTAATACAAATCATGTCAAAACTCCTTTTTATAAGTAAAAACTATTAATTATAGTTTAATATATATTTAATAGGTTATTAAAAATAACCATATGAAAAATTATATTCCAAACTACCACTACCACATTCCAATGATAGAGACCCTTCCTCTGGCCCTTACCTCTTATCACCTCTCTTATTAGCCCTTTCCTCAGATCCTTATATAGGTCTTTAACCTTGGCCACTTAGAAGTTGAGACATTTTCAAAAAGTCAAACCACCATGTGTAGATGTAAAGTTTTAGATCTGTATTCCTCAACTTTCTTTTGTTTATTAAAAACTTGCACCTCCTATTAGTAAGAGGGGAAAATCTTCCTATTTTGAAGTTATTTGAAATTTTAAAATGAAACATACAGTGCCAAAACCAAATCAGATGCTTTTTCAAATAACTATTAAATTAAATTATTATTAAATGTAATTGAATATGCTTAAGAAATCATTTAATATTTCATAACAGTGACTCAAACATCTGATTCTAAGCTTGGGCTTTTTAAAACATGATTTAACATTTGCCATTGCTGAAAAAGAGGACTCATGAAAAAGTAAGTGCATTTTTGGCTGGGCTTACTAAATACTAAATCAGTTTTCATTTTCATCTATCAATTATACAAACTTTTGATGAGATTTACCTAGTATATTTTCATCTCCCTGGCTCTCAGTTATTGTATGCTAATAATAGGTGTTACAATGTTATATTTATTTTAACAAATAAGTGCAACAACTACTGAAACTCTAGAAGACACCTGAATAGTTTAGAGAATTCTATTTACAGGGTCTAAAAGTATATAGATGTTGAGTTTTTAGGTGACAAATTTATATTGTTTGCAGTTAAAAAAAAAAAAACTATGAATACATTTCCAAACTTCTTTCCAAATGGTCTCTCCATGGCACGACTTTCTTTCAAAAACGTCACTTTATCCCAGGATAGTTGAAAGGGATTTCTTTTTTTCAAAAATATGTTAGGTAATATATCCCTTGCAAATCCTTGCTTACCATCACCGAAAAGATCAGAAACTCTGGAACATTTGTCTCATAAAAAACAAACCAGCAATTCATCCTTATGTTAGATAACTCTTAAGTACTTTGCTGCATGAGAGCCACTGAATCCCTGTGTTGCACAAAAGGTTATTATTGTTCCCATCATATTATAAAGTATTGTGAAGATTTTATCACGTTTCATCTAACCACTCTCCCTCTTGCTCTATTGGAGCACATCTTTTTACTATTCCTTGATATGTAAAACATATTCTTACTCCTAAGCCTTCAGACTTGCTTTTACTATTTGCATGGTTTAGCATTCTGCACTGGCTTCTGGTTTCTGTTCACTGTGTTCCCTGACCACCCTACATAAAAGAGAACACCCTTCCCTCCGCATTATCTATCCCTTTCCCCTGCTTCAATCATCTTCCCAGCACTTATCCTCACCTGACATATTTTATTTTCTCATTGTCTCTCTTCGCTCAAATGTGATCTTCATGAGAATAGAGAAGTATTATTTGTTCACTGCTGTCTTTCATAGCACCTAAAACAGTGACTGGCACATAGCATGTGATCAATAAAAATTCAGTGAAAGAATGAATTTAATAATTTAAGGTAACATAATCCATAAATCCTGACATGTTTAAGCTGCAATGTATTAAAAATGCATTCAAAATTAACAAAGGGAAAGTGAAGATGCCACTGTTAACTTCTATCCATTTGCATAAATCCCATTATTTTGGGGGGATTCTGACATAATCTGTGAGACATGATAATATATATAAGGATAAAGGTAGGGCACTAATGTCAAGTCATAAATGAAACAGGAGTACAGCATAACTTCTAATATTTTTAGACTAAAAAATATAAAGAGATGCTAATATCTAACTCTCACATCAAGAGAAATGTGTCTTGTAGATTTTGAAAATGCTGTTCTACACTACTCGTATTTTCCCATCTAGAAGTTTGAGGGACCATTTCTCTCCTTGTTTGAACATCTCTTCTGATGTACACTACTTCCTAATTACTAATATACTAATCACAGCTAACCAGCTGAAATGGCCATTAAAGTCTAATATATTCTCCCTGGTTATTTTCCTTTAAAGAAAAAAAATAAAAAATTTAAAGAAGTAAAAAAAAAAAAGTTTGTGTCTCTCTATTCGTAGAATTCAGGCTTTCAATTATAAGCATAGCCCACCTCAACGGAAAAATGTGCTCTTGAAAAGATGAATAAGTATTTCTATAAAGTTAATAGCCATACAACCCTCAGATCCAAATTATTACTGTCACAAAAATTAAAATTAAAAATATAATCAATAATTAAATATCACATATTATGACCAAAAATTATAATTTTAACAAATTTGGTAATTTTGGTGTATTCTTTATAACACACCAAACTCTTATTACAAGTGAAAAAGAAAAAGTGATGAATCTATGTCTTCTGACTAGCAGGTCAGGTTCTTTCTACTGTTATCAAGAAGAAAACATGAGTGGGGAATTAGTAATGGCAAAGTATAGAAAATAGTAAGGGAGCATTCAATGAAATAAAAACTGAGACAAAAGATAGGAGACTACTGTTCAGTAGTGCGATTCCACAGAAATACCAAATACTTCGATTGTCACTGGGACAACACTGTCTCCATCTTGTTAACAAGTTCGGTCCCCAGTGTCTTTCATTATGGAAATTCATATACCTTGATTTTTTTTTAAGTTTATTTATTTATTTTGAGAGAGAGAGAGTGAGAGAGCACGTGAGAGTGGGGGAAGGGGCAGAGAGAGGGAGTGAGAACATCCTAAACAGGCTCTGCGCTGTCAGCGTGAGCCTGATGCGGGGCTCAATCTTACCAACTGTGAGATCATGACCTGAGCCGAAATTATTAAGAGTCAGATGCTTAACCGACTGAGCCACCCAGGCGCCCCTCCCTTGATGTTTTCACATGAAAACATTTTTTCCCCCCACATAAGTGTCCAAGCAAACCAAAAGCACCAGAACAGAATGAAGTAGAGGTAGGGAACAGTGGCTAAATGACTCAATAGTATAATATGGCTGACTGGATCTAGTATGTCCTTTGAGGACATTAACAGAACGCTTCCAGAGCAGAGGAGGCACTTCTCCCTCTACAAATATCAGTCTGGCTACCATACTCAAGGAAAACACAACAGCTCTCCTCCACAGGAAGATAGCAAGGATGGTCAGGAGCAATCAGAGATATACCATATAATAAATGGCTGAAGGAAAACAGACATTTGTTTAGTCTGGGCATTTTTGTAAAGTAGGAAGGGTGTGGGAGATAAGGGAGAGGGAGTGGTCTAACAGAAAAGGAATTAAATTTGCTTAACTAGTTTCTGAGGATGGAACTGGGACCACTAAATAGAAGTTTTAGAAAGGTTTATTCTGGTTCACTACAGGAAGAACAGTTTAGCAATGACCCCTATTTATAAACTGTTTAACTCAGGAGACACAGCTTCCTTTCTCAAAGTAATGCTGGACTACCATTTGGAGGAGAGAAGAAAGGATACACAGGGAAATTAAGCAACACACTAAGGGCTGCGCAGGTTAACAAGTTTGGCCTAGACCTAGAAGATCTCTAAAATCTTTATGCAAACCTTAAACTGCATGTTTATAGAAGGAAAAAGACATAAAGAATAATTTCTCACCTTCCTTTCTAAAAATAGTTCTCTCCAAATCTAGGACCTAGGACTCACCTGAGTTCCGGAGAAAAGTCTTTTTAAGTCCTTACAGGAAGACTGTGAAGCAAAAAATATGAAATGGGAGGCTGGGGTTATGGCCTACTTGAATGAACGTTCAAGTCTTTTTTTTTCTTTCAATAAGCTCACTGCAAAGATGTATACTGCTCTAGGTTCCAGTTCAGCAGTCACCTGCGGAGCTCTAGGTGCCTTTATTCCCCATGGATTCAATCCAAAGGAACAAGGTCTCTAAAGAATTAGGTAACGTGCATAGTGTAATCCCTGACCCTTAAGGTGATCTTTCTGAATATATAATTATTTCAAAGTTATATACTCCAACTTACATGCCTAGACCTAGCTGGTTTTACAATGCTTTAAATGATCTCAAAATTCAGGTAATAGCTTAGGTAAGGTTATTAATTTTGACAAGGGTTTAGTTTTTTCCAATGGCACATTTAGAAAATAATTACTAAGTTATTATTTTTGTATCTTAATTTTCCTGAACTAAGGTATATCAGGTTAGTCTTTCCCAAACATTTCCACTTTATCCCACGTAGTTAATGATTTCCCCAATCAATTCTTTTTCCTCCATATCTTAAGAAAAAGTCTTTTAATTAGGTCTGTTCTTGTGTATATATATATGTTCCTATACGTAAGGTGACTATACAGACGCAGCATATTCCTTACTGTAAAATGAAATAAACTCTGAACTAGATATGTATCTATTTTCATAACTACTGAAAGGAGAGAGATATGGCTATAAACGACAGTTACGAAAGTAGATGCAGAACTTTTTATACACATACCTGAACTGTCTGGACTTGTGGAGACTGAATAACTGATGGCTGGGCCGCCTGAATAACGCCATGGACTTGAACTGTCTGCCCATTGGGCAGCTGTACTAAAGTTACGGTGGGAGCAGATGATGTTGCATGAGCTGCTGGCATAGATACCTATGGTGTTGAACATGGAAAAAAATTACCATCACAGATAACCTCCTTCGAGGTAGTCATGCTCAATATGCACCAATTTTTTAGCAGGAAAAAGATGACCTTTTTGGTAGATAAGTATTTCACTGGTGTGAAAGAAACTAATGATTAAATTTAATATTCTTAAAAAAAAAAAAAAAAAAAAAAAAAAAAAAAAAAAAAAAAGGACCATAAATGCCCCCTCCCTTTCAAATCCTTCCAAATGACAAAAAACCAAAAAACTATTTTAATGCAGTATCAAAATTTGTAACACAGACTTCCTCTGAATACTAAATACACTTTAATTGTATGGTGCTTTACATTTTACATTTTCCTACCTGCTTTCATGTCCAGTTTCTCCTTTTGCTCTTCGAAGAAATCAAGACTGGGTAATAAGGATTATCTCCATTTTAGAGACAAAAACATCAAGTGCTCAAGAGATTAAGTAACTTACCCAAGGTCAAGAGATATGCTAGCTTTGAAGAAATATAGAAGTCTTCAGAATATTGTGTGTTAAATAAGCCATATTCTAAAATATACCTGCTCTCAACCTTAGGCAAAACTTCTCTAAGTCTAGAACAAATATACATCTTAAAATATACAGCATAGTTTTCTCTCTTTAACTACAAGCATGCCTTTCATTAGTGAGAAAGTATGAATACGTATTATAAACTCAAAGTTCCCACTCCCCCAAATCAAACTGGTATGATACTTGGTATTTTAAGGATTTATTTTCCTCTTGAAGGAATAAAAGCAGAATTGAGGGAATATAAGAGATACTAATTTTCTCCTGAGGCACAAAGGCAATTTTAATGAGTCAATATCCAGGTTCAAAGGGTTCTTATGTCATATGTGTCTATTAGATGGTATTTACTGTTCCTATGTTTGAATACATTCAGGGATTCATTATTTTTTGTTCATTCACTAAACAGTTATTGGGGACCCAGGTGCCAAGGGTGGTGTCAGAACTGAAACTACAAACATGAAGAAAATAACTGGGGCTACATGTGTGAAGGCATCCGGAAAAGAACATAAATAAGTATAATCCAGTGAAATAATAAGGCTTGCCAAAAGAAAAATGCACATACTGAGGAGAGCTACCCACTGGCACCTAAGAGGAGGGGAGGCAAGGATGTGAATTTGAAACAAAGAATATACATTAGGTATATTATGACTCCCTGGGACAGGGACAGACTTTCAGGGAGAGAGGGATGGAAAGCAGTCAGTACTACTAGACTGACCACCTAAGTGTGTTACTTTATGAACGTAGGAACCGGGAAGAGAGAACACCGTAACAAAGGAAGGTTGGGGCTAGATGAGCTAGTCCTGAAAAGCCACCTATGTGTCACCTTAAAGAATGTGCATTTTTTCCTGAGACTGGGAAAGACACTGAAGAATTTTTGAACTCTGGAGTATCATGGTGAGGTTTGCATTTTAGATAGATCACTTCAGTGGCAGTATGAAAGATGTTCATTTCAAAGAAAGAAAAAAGTGGAGGTGAGGGGATTGAGAAAGATTATACAGTAGTTAAGGTGAGATGATAAAGCCAGAAGTAAAGCACTAGTGGTAGGGAGGGGGAATGAGAGAAGTGATTTAATGAAAATTCAGGAGGCAGACTAGAAAGGGCTTTATGAATGATTGGTTGAAGGAGGTGAGAGAGGAAATCAAGGATGACCCACATAATTCATGTTTCGGTAAAAATTGGTAAACTATGCCATCAACTCAAACAGAGAACACAAGAAGTAAGCTTTGGGGTGATTGGGGTGGTTGGGGGCGGGGCAAAGGGGGATGGTGGAATTGATCTGATATCCAAGAAAGTAGAGATTAAAACCATTAAGCACCCATGTTTGGACAGTTAGGAAGTCCCTCCTCATTAATCATTTTCTCTCTGACTGACATAAATCTTATCTAGTTTTACGTGGTCCTCAAAATGTGGTCCATGGACTGCCTCCATTAGCATTACACAGGATGCCTCTTTACAAAGTCAGAATCTCAGTGGACCCAAGGACACTTTCCCCTGCACTTAAGTTTGAGAATCACAGCTTAAGTTACTCAGAATATCTCCTCTTAGTTCCATACAAAAGCTCTTCTGATATTTGAAGCAATTATTATATCTTCTCTATTTGATAGAATAAACGTAGCAAGCTAACTCAATGAATAATCCCTATTCTACCCTGATCATTCTACATACTGGCTCCTCTCATCACAAGTTTACAAACAGTACAGATAGACAAAGTAAGATAAAAATCACTTCTGTTCCTACCATCCACAGCTAATCGCTGTTAATATTTTTTGCTGTAGATATATAGCTGTTTTTATAACATACTATCATGGAATCTATTTTATTTTTTGAATCCATTATAAATATCTTTCCATACCGGTAATAATTTTCTTTAGTGGTTATAATGGCTGCACAATAAAATCACACACTTTGTTTAATAAATTCATTATTAGATATTTAGGTTTTCAAATTTGCCTATTACAAAAAGATTCAATGATCATCCTTTTACTTCTTTAGTTAAATCCATAAAAATTTACATTCTCATAGTCAAAACCAAGATTATTTTTTTTTCCTTTCCACTTTAAAAAATCTCTGTTAAATTCTCAAAGTAAAATGAGGCCTCTCATTATTGTTTTAGACTGATTTTCTTCCTTTACTAGTTGGGCTGAAATTTTTTCTGTTCCTTGACCACTATAATCATGGATTTGACAATTTTTATTATATTCTGATATTAAATATGACAATAAAAAATACTGGGTATTAGACTTATGAAAGGAAACTATGACAAAAATGTGAAACGTATGTGTTAAGGACATGGATGAGCAAATGAAAAAAACTCTGTAATTAAGAATAAAAAAACCAAAAACTATACAAATGGGAAGAGAAAGAAAACTAGCTTTCCTAAAGCTCAAACATCATGTCATTCTGTTCTAGGTCAATCCTAGAGGACTGCCTGATGAGGATGACAAATCAAACATACGCATGTAATTTTGCTCCTTCCTAATCTCCAATTAAACTTCATAAAATTGACTCTATTTTTACAGGCATAATCACATGAGCAAAGAATGAGAAAGGAGGCAACAGGAATAGTTTTGGAGGTTGAAAAGATGGATGAATGGTACTAAAAAAGGCCAACTCATGAGGTAGATGCAGGGAAAGCCAGATTTGCACCACAAAATCCTTCAGAGATTCAGGATCTAAGTAAGTCACCCTGGAAGGTGGAGTAAAGGGAGAGCTGAAAATAAGGAAGGCTGGTTGAAGGCTCTTTGAGAAGCAATTGGATCCCTTCTCCATAACTCCCTGTGGAAGAATAATTAACCTACCCCATGCTGACAGAAAAATGGAGATTTAATTTCTGGATAGGGAAAATTACACCAGACACTGCTGAAGGTGGGGTAACTAACTCTCAGTCTTCTTCTCTCACTTAGCTCCCAGGCCTTTACCCTGTAAGCAAGAGATTAGTAAAGCTTTCCCCGAGGAACTTAACCAACCACAAGGGGCTTGAATAAAGACTTGAAAGATACTGACATTGGGAAGGCCATAATCACCCTACACTGAAAGCTCACAACTTACAGGCATCAGGCCCCAAACATATCCAGAGCTTCTGGTACAGTTTTGCGGTCCCCTACTTTAAACCTGAGCAGACAAGCACAAATTATAAAACATCTGAGGAAAGCTTCTTCTAACATTAAAGATGGAGAGACCAAGACAAATTGAAGGGCAAAAATCTATACAGAGAAAAATCTATATGGGGAGAAGAAAACTTAAAACCTAATTAACATTCTCAGAAATGAACGAAAAGATTTCCTTTGTGAAACATAAACAGGATGCTATTAAAACACAAAAGGACAACAACAACAAAACACAAAAGGACTATTCAGAGAACAAAAGGAACTGTTGGAAACATGACAGCAGAAATAAAAAATTCAACAAATGGGTTGGAACACGAAGCTGAAGAAATCTCCCAGAAAACAAAGCAAAAAGACAAAAAGAAAGAGGAAGGAAAAGAGAGTTAGAGAAACAATCCTATAGTGTAGCATCTAGATCACAAGGATCCTAGAGAAAAAAAATCTTCAACCAAATAATTTACACTGCTCAGAATCGAAGACATGAGTTCCACTATAAAAGGGAATATTGAATATATATATATATATATAGCACAATGGATGAAAACTATTTAAGCCAAGGTCCTAATAATGAAATGGTGAAGCACTGTGAAGAGATACCAGAGAGAGAAAAAAAGTGGTTCAGTCCTTTCAAACAGCAACACTGCTTGGTGATTGTGGATCAATGCCTTCAAACTTTGAAAGAAAAAGGATTTCTTTACCAAGACTTCTTTACCCAAACTTGCTTAAGAAACCACTGGAAAACGTGCTTTACTATGTCAAGAACACAAACTCGATTAAGAGAAAGACAGTAAGGGGAAAGGAATTTCCAAGAATGCATTATATAGCAGACTCAGAGGACAACCAGATCAGACACAATAGTGCCACCCAAGAGACAGTAAGTGGAAGGTTTTCATCACCAAGATCCCTGCTGGCACTGTACCTTCTTTTTACCAGGCCAAATGGTTGGATAAATCCAGACTCTCACCTCTGCATGTTTGCCTTGACCACGTTTTGACGAAGCCCTGGATTTTCCCCCTATGTTTCTGCACCTGCCTCATCCAAGTATTTACTTCACCCCCAGATATATTCTGCTTTGCCTTAACTCCTGAGGGGTGGAGGTGGGCCCTAGTAATCAGGAGAAAACAGACAGCAGCCCACTCCTTGTGACTCTGTCCTGCTGGAGCTCCAGTATTTGGCCCACACTTTGGCTTAGTGTAGTAGCCCCCCCTTAGTCTGTGGTTAGCCCCCTATTCTCCAAGACCCATTCAAACTCAGGGACTCCCCTAGGAAGGCTTTTCAGTTCTTCAGGACGCTGAAGTTCAACATCCCAGAGCCTCTGCTAGGATCATATTCTCCTGGGAGCCTTTATCAGAAAGAGACAGTATCACACTCTTTTATCTAGCAGGTTTATGTCTTATATTAACTACCTTTCTCACTTATATGCAAATAATGGTTAATATTATTTAAAATATTTGAGGAAAACTACACCAGAACAAAAAATAAGGATGAGAGAATATGACTTTAGAGATAGAATGTTTAAGACAAAGACAAAGTTAAAGAATCGTGAATTATATTTAAAGGATACAGGAAACAAAAACCATTATCATCCTTGAAATTTACTTGTGTGTCAGTTTGTTTATCCTATTTTTTAGTTTAAGCACATGGAAAACTTAGCCTCTCAGATTATCTATATTCTCATGCCTCAAAATAAATCTGTGTGATATGGAAAAAAAAACAAAAAACAAAAAAACAAAACGAAATAGTTAACATTACCAGGTTTTCTTCCTTGGTTTAAGAGAGACAATCTACCCATTATTAAAATGTCATTATTCCGAATCAGGTCACTACAAACAGATAACTAGTGTTTAAAAATACGGTTTTCTGTTATGTTACTAAATTAATTACATCATTTCTAAAATTAGGCTAATAATACTAAGTAAACAGGAACTTTGATACCCTAAGAACCTCTGCTCATTCTATGCTTATCTCTATAATAAGAACTAAATCTTCCTGTCTGAAACATACTCCTCTTAGAAGAGACATAACTTGGAATCTCTCCATGTATTTTATACCTGGGCTAATGTGGCAATCTGTGGCTGGGCTTGAACTGTCATTTGTTGGTTTTCAGCTTCTGTTACAGCCGCATCTCCACTCTGCTGGTTCTCTGCTCCAGATTCCATGGTCATTTAGTTACCTACAATAACATGGAAGAGTGTTACAAGCACTACAGTGCTTTGTGCTTTTGTGACTTTAAAGGCAAATTTCAGGTTATGAATAGGTATATGTACTGGTTACATTAGCAAATGCACTCAAATCTAGTTCAAAAAAAATAGTAACCTAGCTGAAATACTGTCAAACTCATCCAAATCTGCTGAGCTGTAAGTTCTAGTTCCTTCAAAAAGGAAAAAAAAACAACCACCTGTCTTTTCACTTGTCACTTCTTCCTAACGGGACAGTATTCCATCTAGAAAGAAGAAGGGATTCCTCCCTTCCATGAATCTCCTCTATGAACAAGGGGAGGAGCGTACCAGTAAAACTGTAATTTTTTCAAACTGTACTAATTAGGTATGGAAAGAAGGTAGAGAGTAGAAGTGAGCTGATGACAGGGTCTATGAGATGTATCGGCTTCATGGTACCTCCTATGAGGGTATTCCCTCCTTTTATAGGGAAGAAGCAGAAAATTATATGCTACTTCCACAGGAAATGTTGGGACAAAATCAGCCCAAATTGTGGGGTATCGAGATAGAAAGGTGGGATAAACATCCACAGAGCCAAATTAGAGGCCGCAGACACTGCAAGTATTAGTGTTCTGACTCTTCGCCCTATGTATAGTGTGCCACACTACACGTGCACACATACAGGAAACAAAACTGAGTAAGTTAATGAAGGCTGCTCTTTTTTACTTTGGGACCCTACTTTGCTGGTATATTTGCTGGGTAATCTGGCACTGACTGGCAGCATAGGTAAGCAGAGAACAATCCCTAGCAGCAGCTACATGCTGAGGAAAGATTTCTGACAACAGAAATAAATTTCTGGTAATAATTGTGTCTAAAGGATTCACAATCAAAGAGATTACTTCTTACTTGTGTACCACTGTTATCATTTAGTGCCTGGCATATTACCTGTCAAAAATGAATTTACTAAAAATAATGACTACCTACTGTGATTCCATAAATAACACAAAAGCCCCAATGCTTTTCCAGAATTTATTATATTTATTTTATAACTCTGAAATTGATAGATCATCAGAACTGTGACTGATCCTTATGTGATTATTACATGCCATCGTAATGTATAATATACGAATACATTTTGCCATCATTCAGAGTTCTAGAAAAAGTCTTACAAGTGACAGTTAAAAAACAGGAAGTAAAAATATCTCTGTGGAAATGAGTATAAATAATATAGAAATATAGAATCCACAAAGGAGATTACAAATGAAAAGATCAACAGACTTAACTGCATAGTTATTTAAAACATTCATATGACAAAAGACACTAAGACAAGTGCATAGGGAGAAAACATCTGCATATATAATTGACACAGTAACATCTAGAATACAGAGAAACTACTAGTCAACAAGAAACTCCTTCATTATTGACTAGTTCACAAAAATACATGCTCAAGAATATTCACTGTAGTGTTTTTTCTAACACTGAAAAACTGGAAGCAAGTATCCATTATCAGAAGGACCATTAAAGAAATTACAACAATGAAAAAGGAGTCTGTACTATAACGACAGATAAAGCTTTCCAAGGCTGAGTGGAAGCGCAAGTCACAGAACACACCGTAAAGGAGAATTCCACTTATGTAAAAAAACAAGTCACACTGTTGTAAAACACGCCGTATGTAGGCATCGAACAAGTATGGGAAGTTACATACTAAACTGTAAGCGGCAGCTCTGGACAGAGGAAGATGTGGTGGAACTGGATAGGATGACGACTTTCACCTTGTACTTTTTACACAGTTTAGTATTTTGTTTTCTTCCCATCAGCATCACTTCAGAATTACTTGTACAATTTAAAAGATTTTAATTCCAGAAGTCATGAACAACATTTTGAAAACTATGAACCAAAAAACCGTATTTCAATCATGATTTTGAGATACCTGTTGAAAAAAAATTTTTAATCTCAGATATTTTTATATGAATTTACTATTTTTATTAAATCTTGCCTCAATTGCTTACCCCATATTTCTAAACAGCAGAAATACTATTCTTAAAAATTATCAAGTAACTTTATGATCACTTGTGATAATTGAGTTATATACTTACAGTCTGTGCTCTTTTAAACTAAAAAATTTAAGAAAGACATTAACAACAAGGCAACATCAACAACAAAATGGTTTTTGTACCCTAAATGTTGTCCATACTTTTGGTCAGCAAGAAAATAGCATGTGAAAACCACCTAATCGCAATTAACATGCAAGTGAATCCATTTGAGGACAAGACTGAACTGAGTCAAGCTAAGTATGGGCAGAAATCCATAAACTTTTCTCCGTCTTCTCCCCCATGTCATCATTTTAATGCGAATAAAGATAAATATAACTTTATCATCATACCTCCTTTGTAGACAGAGTATACACCAACCATTTTTAAAAAACTTTATTCCAGGCCACATTTTTTTTTTAAACCTGTGCTGTCATCTATATAGTTTCAATCCCCCATTTGATTAAAAGCAAACTAAGGTATGGATCATGTATCTTTTTTCCCCCCACTATACAACATCAGGACTACTTAATTTTTTTCTGACATTTGAGGTATAGAACATCTTTATAACTTTTTGTTGCAGAAAAGAAAATATAATAAACAAAACCACTAGTTAACATCAATGATTATAGCTACAAGGACACATTCAAAATAAGAATGGGACTTTCATCCTTCTTCCCTCCCCAACTAGGTAATATTCTTAAAAAACAAAAACAAAAGTGTAATATTTTCAACAGGTAGGATTCTCTCATCTAAACTGCCACTGTTTTATTTTCATTTCTTTCATCCAGAAAGACTACCAATCTTTTTCAGATATGGGGATAGCCTTCTTAATGTTTATAACTCTTAGCTTAAGTAGGTATCAACATCTCAAGCAACAGCACAAATACTGTCTTTCATCAGAAAATTCTCAACGTGCTCTTCTCAAAGTGTAGGTGAGAATTGTTTAAGTAATAACAATTTGTTTCGGATTAGAAACTCACCGACTGAACTGAATCAGACACTATTTTACCATCAAGGTACTGAAATAGCAGTCTCTCAACTAGACTAAACTAACACTTGAAGTTGGTGCATTCTTTCTGGACTCTGAAAACTTTTGCTCTTTTTTGTTTGTATCTTCAGGTGGAGAGAGAAGAGATGTTACAGTATCATATGTACAATCTTCAATTTTGCTAACATCCCAGGAGCAGTCTAGCCAGAAGTGCAGTATGCAGACACAGGATCAAGGACTACAGCCAATATGTGGGTGTCCAAAGTCGTTTGAAGAAAGGAGATTCTTCTTTTTTTTTTTTTTTAATTTATTTTGGGGACAGAGAGAGACAGAGCATGAACGGGGAAGGGGCAGAGAGAGAGGGAGACACAGAATGGGAAGCAGGCTACAGGCTCTGAGCCATCAGCCCAGAGCCCGACGCGGGGCTCAAACCCACGGACCGCGAGATCGTGACCTGGCCGAAGTCGGACGCCCAACCGACTGTGCCACCCAGGCGCCCCAGGAGATTCTTAATTCATTACACAAATGAATGCTTTTCAGGAATACAAAAATTAAGAACGACTGAATACTGCTATGAAATAAGTAAAAGATTAGGTACATATAAGCTCAGAGAGAATGTTGTATAAATACTGGGCCTGGAACATCAGTAACAGAATGGATCTCAGATATCACTGAAAATGTAGTATCAGCTTGACAGTCTGGGGGTTCTTCTTCCAATACTTTCACAATTATAAAACTCTGGGTTACTGATATTTAAAATTTGGAGATTTTCCTGATTTTTCCCTAAAAATTAATATAATCCTTTGGAAACCCTAAGTTTATAACAAATTTCAAAACAGTATCATGCCTAAAAGAATCAAAAATATTTAAGCCAATTCACAAGGATACATACCATTTTGCTATAATGTCTTCTAGAGTTCTGCCTCTCATTATGAAAAATAAAAAGTGAAGTGATTCTTTGCATTATTCACCCAATGTTCAGAGAAATAAACAATGCGGCTGTGAGTAGTGGGGAAAGGGAGCCTAACACTTGGTGGGAAGCTGGATCTGTCACCAAGCAGTCACTGGAAAAATTAAACTTTTTGATTTTCAGTTTCCTCATCTATGAAAACAAGGAAGATGAATTAAAGAGTTCTTTCAATTTTAAATGCTCTGACCCTGAGAAATGACACAAGATACATGTACACACACGTAATTATGCAGGCCACTTAATATAAATGAAGTATTTCCTTTTACTATATAATAATATTTACACAGTAAAAGAAGACAGATTCACTAGGAATAGGTCACCTAGCCTGCCTCTTGATCTTGGATTAGTACAGAGCTATTACCACTTACTGATTTATAAAATCATGAGAATGCAATACAACTTGAGATAATTAGCAGTACTTAAAAAAAAAAAAAAAAGCTACAAGACCAGACTACTAGTCAACAAAGATTCTCTTTCAATGTTGGACAGCGTCTCTTTTATCATTACATTGCTCTGGTCACATTTATTGTTAGTGGGATCAACTAAATAGTTATTAAATAGTTTTATAGTCCCCTTTGTTAATTTTCCTTTCCATCTTAGAAAGCTTCAAGAAATTTATCTAAGATGGTATCGCTTTGTACCCTTTACATGGTAAAGACAGTAGATACTGAAAACTTCACAATGTAGTTTAGAAAAACATCCTAGCAAAGCGTCAAATGAGTGCTTCCATGACATTTAAAGGAAAAGAAAATGTTCTGCAATAGTCAAGAGAGTGGGGGAACTCCAAAGCAGCACTGAGGATGGACACAGAATTCAAAAATGTGGGGAAGGAGGGTAACTTTTCTGGTAAGAAAAATGGTATGAGCCAAGGCTGACATTATAGTATGCTTTTAGAGAAATGAGTGAATCAGTGGCTGGGGTCAGATTCTGTACAGAAGCAAGGAGAGAAGACAAATGATAACAGAATAGTCACTCTAAAGCTATCAGCAATCACCTACTAGGACAAAATGAGAATTGAGAATGATG